ACTCTGACCATGTTCATTATCCTGACAATGAGAGGGAAAATGTTTCTATGAATGGTGAAATCAGCTCACAAGGCTCATCCTGCCAGAGCTTATATCCCATAATGCAGTACTAGCTTGAAAATTATGTGTAGATCTGTTGTGGAAGTGTTAAGCCTGATCTACAATGGAAATTCTCCCTACAGTTATTACAACTGAATAGTGTATGAAGGTTAGGAGAATAAAGGAATTGAACATCTAAATCTAAATGTCTGATATGCAAAGGGTAATACAGCCCATCTTCAGCAGATATCCCACCCATCCCACTCCAGGGGAGGACATCCATCACACAGTAATCTCATGTGTGGGAAATTGACATCTCCTACCCCAACCCTGCAGGAGACGGGGCCTACAGTTTTAATACATATTCATCCTTATCCGAGGAGACTAGAATATCTATCCATTTTTTGATTTTATAGAAAGGTAGCAAATTTTCCTCACTTATGTTAAGACCATGATTATTGGTCCAGCCAGGGCTCAAACCCTCGACCTCCCGCACAACACAATCCGGTGCTCTAACCAATTGAGCTAGAAAAGAAGCTCTTGATTGTTGAACAAATTCTCTTTGTTAGTACTAGAGAAAAGGTACAGTGAACAGTATTTAGAACATACAACTTACATTGGGTGGATGTTACCTTGGTTAGATGAAGTGCCAGTTTTTAATGTTTACTCTGATTACTTTTCCAGAAGTTTTGTGACTTTTTCAAGTCCACTAAATGGTGTAAAGGTATGGAAGCTTATTTCTGGGGGATCTCGTACCCTTGATGGCAGGGTTCCACAATTCCAATAGTTTAATCAGTTTTGTTTTCTTTTTGTCTTTGTGTCTCAGTGATCATTTCTCCAGGAATCACTGGATGTTATGTCCACTAATGATGACAATTAACACTTTAGGTTTTACTCTAGAACTTTATTCCAGATACATGGATGCTGCCAAGGTTTGTGAAATGTCTTTAGAAAACTTGGTTATAATTTTTCAAGGGGGGTGGGCTTTGGTGGTGATGGGCAAGGGTGGGGAAGGTGATAAACATTTTTTCTTTGGGGACTGGCCTGGGATAAGAGCATGGTCATGTTGTGAACAAGTGGACTGGGCTCCACCTCTCTGTGAAGCACCTTCAGAAAACAGAGCTGTTGTATTGTATTACCTCTGGAGTTCGAGTATTTTATTTTTGTACTGCTCTGCTGTCTAGTTACA